AATTGTATGCAAAAAAGTAATATATTTCAATAGAATATTTCCATTTATTTGTCTCACTGGCGTGAGACTTGATGTCGGAGTTGAAGTTTAAAGCATTTTTATAAACAATAATCGCATCGCATACATAAACATTTCTCTTTTCGATTGTGTTTACATAAAACGTTTCGACAGACTCCGTGTGATAGCTATGTGTGTTCGTTGATTAACAGTATGCTTCGTAAGCAATAACAGCATTAAAACAACGTATTGATTATTCAAATGCATTTCTGTCTACATATACATTATGTATCACTCTGTGTATTCACTCAGATTTTTCTTAATTTGCTTGTGTCAGCAAAATTCAGATTTCAACCGAAAATCACACATCTCTCTTTGTTTATAATTTGACATTTCTCGCCGACGTTCATTTTGCTTGTTACTTCAAATGTGTACGGTGCATTGTGTTGATTAGTTTCAATCGTAACATTTCAGAAGGAGTTGTTTTGTAAATCAGAACACAATATATTCTGATGGTGAAATGAAAGTGACTAAATAAATCGTTTTCTTCGACAACACAAATAAAATCTCATTTTCATATCAAAACGTTTGAAAAACAGTTTCTGTTCATTTTCAAAATTGTGCTTCAAACCACGAGTGCTTTTATGCTATTTTACAAATAATATTTTCATACGGTGATTTACATTTCGATTTTGATCATCGGCCATTTTTAATAAACGTTTACTTTTGTCGATTCAACAATAATTCCCTATAAATTCGGGTGCATTTTTGAGGTGATCCCACAGTTTAGTAAAGAATTTCACAGCAGTAAGTGTAGCGTCTTTTTGACCGCTCTATATTTGTATATATATTTTTCAAATGAAAAAGTGTTTTAATTAAATTTATGCAATTATTTAATCTCTCTCGCTAGCCTTGTGTTCCAATTGCCGACCATTCCATCGTGAATACAACATTTTCGAACGCGCTTTTTGTCATTTTGCAGTGAATGTGACGGTGTTGTTGGTAAGTACTCAAAAACGAACCATTTTTCTTGATTTTTTTTTTGAAGTGATCAATGGACTGTGTGTCACGAATTTGACAATTTTTTTCGTGTTTTTTTTTCTGAACAGATTTAATTTTCATTACAATGAAGAAGAGACGTGCAAAAATAAATTCAGCCTTTAAGAAAAATACGGCAAAATTGAACGACAATGAAGAGTTGCGATCGATAAAACTGTCAGCGCCTTCGGTATTCAAGTCTGAATATTCGGAAGCGCTAACAGAGCATTTTTTCCATAAATGCTACGATGGTACAGTAATATGCTACCTAGGTTCGACATTGTTTTTATATGTTGTCAACATTGCAGCAGATAACGATTATCGGCAATATTTCATTGACAGTGTTGGAAAAAATGTTATACGTGAGTGTTTCGCCGCCGTATCACGAGAAAATTTGGAAAATCCAAATCAACCGGAAATACCACGTGGATTCCTTGAAATGATTGCCGATGATCAATTTGAATGGCCAAGTAGGTACCAAATGGGCAACGCATTTGAATACTTGAATCAACAATATTTATCAAATGTTACGACAAATTTGACAACGCATTTAGATAATATATTGGAGAACTTCTTGTGTTGAAATGATTCGCTATCAATTGAACGAAGCACTAATCGGCTCATAAAATTTGATGGCATTGACATAAGAAATGCAAAGAACAATCTTATGTTCAATCAAGATTGTACCGGAGGCGATCAACACCGAACGAACAGAATGAATGAGTTGTATGAACAAGTCGCCGTACGCTGTTTACCATCATTTCGCAACCATTTGTCAATGATTGAATACATCGAGAAAAAGTGGTTTGAATCGTTGTGGTTTTTCATCTTCATTCAACGTGAAATAAGTATATTTTTGGAAGAGCATCACGATCTTGTGCAATTATGGCTACGACACCAACGCCATCCGCTTTTTTATTGCAAACCATCCAAGCCATTGCCACCAAAAATAAGAAATTTCACCGTCATACCGATATGTGACTCGCAGTTGAAACACATTAAATTCGATCAAGTTGATTTGATGAGCCTGCTGGCCCAATGGAAAGTTGTGCCGAAGATATTTAACAATGATGATGGAGGGCATAATATGTATAGCCGTAACTATTACAAGGAGAACGAAGATGAAGCATGGGCCATTTTGTTCAACATGGACAAAATCAACGAGATCAAGAAACCGAACCAAAACTTTCATCACATGATAGTTTGCGATAGTGTTTCCGCGTCGGTATTGTACAGAACACCAAAGCCTGAGATCGAGAATCGACAAAAAATCAAGCAAAAACTCGAGAACAATGAGTATAAATACATCGTCGCAATTGATCCCGGTATGAAAACATACTTAGCCGGAATTCGTCGGAATATTGAAGATCGCACTGAGGTGAGTTTATATTTAAATAAAATGTTTTCTACAAAAATCAATGCTCATTTTTAAATTTTTTTGTTAAAGGAAAATTTCAAGATATCTTCGAAGTCATATCATTGGGGTGCCGGACAAAAAGTCAGAGACAAAATGGGAAAGCGTATGACTGCCAGATTCACGCAACGAGAGCAATTGGACCGTGAAAGCTATCCATCGATACCATCACCGCGAGGAATCCGATGGAGAAATTACGTCAGGCATCGATTAACCATGGTGAAAGATGCAGTGGCTGCATATACTCGGCGACGTTATGCACGGCTTTCGTTTGACAAATACATCGGGTCACAAGGTTAGAAAGATTGGCTGGCGAAAAAAATAACAAAGAATGAGCCATCGCTTATAAACATCGGAGCAGTGGATATGGCACCCAATTCACCAATTGGCATAAAAAAGGGAAAACGATGCCCAGGTACACGGCATCTTCAATGCAGCGTTAAAAAACTTGGCCATTCAGATGTACACAAAGTGAATGAAGATTTCACATCTCAACACTGTGCGAATTGCCAGAAGAAATTCCCGATTCAAACACAAAAATATCGATTCAAAGTGTGCCACTGTACTCGCGATGCACCACTACCACAAGAAATAGAACCGTATATCTCACTACCACGGCTAATTGTGACGAAGAAGAGTCAACGACGCAAAAAGAAAGATAGCTGCGTGAAGAAATTGATCGCAAAAGGCATCATGGATCCAGCAAATCAACCAGCAGAATTTCAACCAGGGCGATTAGAGTCAAAGAAAATGTACTTTCTGAAAAACTGGCTACTAAACCCTGTGAATGCAATTCAAATGGGAGGCGACGCTGATAAATATCCGGAACAACAACAACAACAGCAACATCAAAAACGATTTTGCACCGTTTGGCATCGAGACATTGTTGCGGATAGATGCATTATGTACAAAGGTAAACACTGTAATTTATTTGGTATATTTTCCAATAATTTAAATTGCCTCTTATTAATTACAGGTCTTTGTTACATATTCAATTTGAAATGCACAACTCGTATGTCAGAGCACCAGCACCTCCAAGACCACCACCATTGCGTAGAAGACAACCAGCACGCAGAAGAGCCAATGCAAACGTTGTTCCATATCAATGATTAAGCAGCGTCGAAATCAAAAAGAAAAAATATAATAACTCTGGTAGTTAGTAGCAAAGCTTGTATTTTGTGGCTTTGGTGATTGTGTATAGTACACATTGTCTAAATGTGTAATTGTACACAGTTCAGTACAGATTTATCTGTAGGTAAGTATTATTTTATCAAATGTTAAAAATGAATTTAATTTGGATGTGGCGCTCAGTTAAATAACATTCGAAAAAAATCCATTTTCGCCGATAGAAATATGGCCCTATATATTTTAGGTAACTTTTTCTTTCTCCTTCTTTTTCTTCCACTGGTGACGTTGAAAATGACTGAAACTACACACAAATCCGGCCACAAAATTGACCGTCAACATATGCCCGATAATGGATGAATTTGCCCCAACAATTGTTTATTGGGTGGGCATCACACCAGACATGACACTTCACTCTGTCAACCAAAGTCGCTCAAAATCTAATGATTTCTATTCCTCGGCACCCCCAATCATCCTGTGAAGTCAGATTTTGAATTACTTTTCTTGTTTGAAAGTTATCGTGTTAACAAATTTTTGCGTACAGGGTACAGGGTACAGCACGTGGATGACACATATATGAGATTGGAGACTTTTTTATGCGAGTCTCGCTAATCAGCGCCATCATACCTGACATCCCTCAACTAAATTTACATCTCTAGCATGTAAACAAATTTGCTCTATGTAACGTAACACAAATGCACATATTTATTATTTATTTTTATTTTAAGTAATATATTTTTCCTTTATAATAATAATATATTTTTTAAATTTAGATTTTATTTGAATTTTTGAACAAAACTATTTTTTTTTTTATGATGAAATATTATTTTTCTCCGACGTCTCCAACCAAATTTACGTAATGTATTTTACGTATTCATGTTTTTGACAAGTCATTTGTCAATTTAGATTTATGACATTTCGTCAATTTTCGCATTTTGAAGTCGCTGTAAATAGCGTTATAAAAATGGTGAGAAATAAATATTAGACTGATATATTTTTTATCAGTAATTTATTCTTTAAGTTTATTTTATCTCTTTATTTTGTTTTTTACCAAAAGCTGTGTATTGTTTTATGTTTGTTTTTAAATATTTTATGTAACCTAACAAATGGCTTGGTGATTTGATTGATATTGAAACAGGACGTTCCAAATTGACAAATGACTTGCCAAAAACATGAATACGTAAAATAAATTACGTCAAAAATGTCACAATCTCTCCCATTTCTCCAAGCCAACAGATGGCATTAATGTAAACCATTCGCAATGTGTCTCTTCTTAGAGCCATCCACTTGGGGTACAGCGTACAGGGTACCACGCACATACATTGACGTGGCCAAGAAACCGTTGCTCTGTGCTTCTCTATACCCAAAACGCATAGAAAAACGATTTTTAGCGATTTCAAAATTTTGGGGTGATTGCAATACTTTACTGCACACAGTGGGTGTGCGGAAAAGTAAAAATGCCTTAAATTGATATACTTTCAATTCGAACGCTGGAAGAATGTGTGGTGGGGGGTTTCTTGGCACGAGAAACCCGAATCTTATGTTAGTTTTAAGATGCAATCAATTTTTCATACAAAAATCCACAAAAAATTTCATTTTTGTATGAAAGACATGCCTTTGTGGTACCGTAATGATGTGAAATTTTGAACAGGCTTTTTTTTGATTGAAATTTCTTTAAACTTGGTGTGATTATTTATTTTGATAAGAAAATAATATTCACAAGTTTTCACTGTAATTTAAGTTACTGCAACCATACATAGACCATAATTTCGGAAAAGTCAGCTTGCGTGCGTAAGCCTCTTTATTTTATACAGTTTTACAATACACTACGCTTTATACGGTTTTTGTATTTTTCTGATAGAATACTTACAATACTTAAAATTCTAGTTTTCAGTTCTTCATTGAAGCACAGCTACATTAAAAGTAATGAATTTCACCCGACGTCGGATAAAAGTCAATTTGAGCGTCGGGTAAAGTTCATTTTTGAAAATTGAATTTTACCCGACCTGAAAATCGTCGGATAAAATTCATTTTGCGTGTCGGGTAAAATTGATTTCCAATATGAATTTCGCCCGACGTCGGATAAAAGTCAATTTGAGCGTCGGGTAAAATACATTTTTGAAAAATGAATTTCACCCGACGTAAGAATCGTCGGATAGAAGTCAATTTATTAGTCGGGTGAAATTCATTTTCAAAAATGAATTTCACCCGACCTGAAAATCGTCGGATAAAATTCATTTTGCGTGTCGGATAAAATTCATTTTCAATATGGATTTCACCCGACGTCGGATAAATGTCAATTTTTTGAAAAATGAATTTTACCCGACTGTTTTTTTAACATCGGATAAAGTTCATATTGTGAAAATAAATTTTATCCGACGTCGGGTAAAATTCAGTTTTTGCGTCGGGTAAAATTCATTTTCACAATATGAACTTTACCCGATGTAAAAATCGTCGGGTGAAATTCAATTTGGGCGTTGGGTAAAATTCATTTTGAAAAGTGAACTTTAACCGACGTCGGGTAAAATTCAATTTAAGTGTCGGGTAAAATAGAATCGGGTATTATTCAGGGAGCCGACTTTTCATATGCGCCATCCGCAAAATGTGTATGAAACATTCGACAACGTCCGCAAATTTGTATGAAACATCCGCCACCATTCGCAAAATTTGTATGAAACATTCGCAACCATTCGTTTCCATTTGCAAAATATATATGAAAAATTCGCTCGCATATGGAACATTCGTATAAGTCGGAACCCCCTAGCAAAAGGCGCAGAAATAGTGTGTGCGCCCTTCAAAAGGCGCCAATTGTTCGAACGGGTATGCACTCTTTAAATGCAGTCAACAATCAATCTATGATAAAATTCCATCAATTTTATTGAAAAATTATGATTTTAAAATAAGTTTTACGAAAATACAATTTCAAAAGTTACAAGTTGAAAATATGTCTTTATATCAGCGTGACTGACCAAGAAGGTTTGTGTTTTGGAAAGCACCCTAGCGCGTAATCGACAAATATTACGCATTATGCATTGAGGTATAAAGTTTTTACTATAAACAGCTACATCGGCGAATTAAATACAGAACCAATACACACAGCTATCTTAGCTGATGATTCATTTTTATTCTCCTTATTCCTTATTCAACATTCATAGAGTTTGCACTTTTTCATACTAACAAGATTTTGACTTTCACAGAGCTGGAGATGACTCATCTTAGATAGAGTAGCTATTATTCCTTGAATTGTAAATGCTTTCTGGTAAAAAAATGAACATGCAAAATGAGATTTACATTCAAAATACGTCGCAGTTGCTTCAAATCCTTGATTTATTCCGAATAGCGAAAAGAAAAGAAATGCTAACATATAATTTGACATTTTTCGTTGACTCCAGCATTATATAAATTATTAAGATTAACAATTATTTGAATGTCCGAGAATGAAAGCGAGAATTCTATTCACAACTTATTGAAATGTAACACCGCCATAAACAAACAAGTTACATGTTTACCACGCAGAAAATCTTAAAGTAAACTTACACGAAACTTTGAACTTTGACAAACAAATCGCCTATCAGCGATATTTGTTAACGTTTGTTCACGAAATTTCAGCTCTGCACGAAATATGTGTTTATTATTTTGTCGTCATTTGTTTTCTACGCATTTGTGTTTCTACGCTTTCATTCTCGGGCAATCATTTATATGATTACATTGATTTAGAACAATTTTACCTACATAAGCGAGTTTAGGAGTATTTTTATGCTATACCAACACATTTTTTTTAAATGAATTTTCTTAAATTTGTTACATGAAATTCTTTCCTCGAAGATTTTTATCGTGAATTTTTTTTATTCTTTTTAAAATATATTTTTGGAGTCTTCTTTATTTGATAATAATGGCCGATTTGTTGAAAACCAATTTTTTTCATTGCATAGTTAAAAAATGGTACATTAAGCATTCAATTCCTTATTTTCGGCTGGAATTTTTGGATGAACTATAGATAGCGGCGGAAATTTTCTTTCAATTTCTTTTTTAATTTCATCGTAACACACCAATGCCACTATGTAGAAGATCACAGCTAGTACTGTTTTAAAAAAAGAGAAAATTAGTAGGAAAAACGTAGGATGTAATTAAAATATTTCACCTGTGATCGGCATTGCAACGGTACCATATATACTATAGTTCTTACGACTCCAAAGATCATTGATACCACTGTCAGCGGAACGAGTACAGATTACCAATATTGCACACAGTAATAAGTAAATAATCCATGGAATTAGTAACAATGTCCAATAAATAATTGGAATCAGCAAAAATTGTTTTTCGTTCTGTTGAAATGAGAACGATTGTCATGAATTACGATTAAAAAAAACGATGCGCAAAAGAAAAATATAATTTATTGTCTATTCAATGAAATACACGAACCAACGAAATGCCGCACAACCATATGATGCTTGCTATCAAATTCAATCCCAGAACTGTAGAAATTGTAAATAGAAGTTATTATAGAAAACGATTAAGCGGTGTGAACAAAATATTGTTGGGCGGGACGCGACTTTAAAATATTTAACAAAAGCAGAGTGCTAAATCAGTGATATCCAAAGTAATTTGATTTAATAAGACACCATACATACCAAATGATACACTCTGTACTTGAATTCGTGTATTATCAGTCTCCCAAAAATACAGCATTGTGATGCTCAATATAATTCCAAACGCACCAGTAAATAGTCCAGCGATTTCCCATTTTCCAATCCGTTTTACTTTATTCATTTTATTTTTGTTTGTGATTTGTTTTTTTCTTTTTATGAATAAAAACAGTTTTGTGTATGCGTAAGAAATGTATTTTTAAACACTAGACCTTGCCCAATTGACTGGATCGTTCTTTGGAAGAAAGCCAAAAAATATTTTTTTTATATGCTTAATCAATGATCACACATTTAAATTCTATTTTTGAATCGTTTCATTCCTTTTCTTCAAGAATTCATTAGTTTGAAAAAATTATCAACAAAAAGTAATCACTTTATATATTGTTTTGGAAAATTCAAAGTTTCACTGTTTTTTTTTATATCAAGTCAAAAATTCAGAAAATGTGACTAAAATATGTTTTCTTACATATTTTCCGATCGTGACCAAAGTGCGACTGTGCTCTGTTACAGGCCAGCGTAGACGCTTGTCTACGACACATCATTTGAGCGACAATGAAAATGCGGCGAATGATCACAAAAATAACACACGTTTGTCACACATTGAAACGATGAATTCAATCGTGGAAATTCGATTTTAAAATATCACAGCGTAGTCATCGTACGGCACTCACACTGAACAAACAAAATTTAAGACATTTTTGAGAAAAAAACATGGTTTGGCATTTACTTATAAATTTTATTTCAATAAATCTATTTACAGATAATTGAAGTTTATGCTAGAAAATTTGACTGTCACACCATGCCATGCAGTATTTATGCTTATACCAAAGTACATTGTCCTTTCAAATAGACTTCTATAGTGAGAACTGCACATCGCCTGGCAGTAAGTCGAACTCGTTTATTGTTTACATTAAAAGTATATGTGTAATGTTTTACTCAGGACCGCCCAGGATCACCATTCTGTCGGGGCTGCTGTATAAACAACACTCGCTCTCGGAACTTTCAATCGGTGTTTTTGAATAGCATCTTTTAATTTTGCATAGCAAATTACAGCTATCAGATAAAAACTCACATGAAACGCTGCAAAGGACGGAAAAATGAGCTACTCATATTGCAATACCATGGTTTGAAGATTTTTTTTGCGGACCATGCATTCTTTTTCTAGTCTGATAAAGCGAAAAAAATATGTGTTTACCTGTTCCACGAACAGCCATGGCATCATCAACATTATATACATCTACGATGTCACGAATATATCCATCATACTTGAGCCTTTGGTCAAATTTCCGACATACGATTATAATTAAGTAGATCAAAATGACAAAGAGCCAAAGGCTCAATTGCAACGACCACCAGCATAAGGATGTTGCCATTAATGCTGTTTTATTCTATTAAAATAGAAAGATAGATTTTTTTGTTTAGATCGAATGCCGGAACATTTTCGTGAAAATACTTTTTCCGGAAATCTTTTTGGAATTCAAATGAAAATTCGTTTGGAATTCAAAACATTTCACCTTATCTTTGGGAAGTCTATAAATCTTTTGAGTTTATTTGAATTTCGATGCACTCACCTTCCAAATTCCACAAAACCAGATAATACCTGCCATCAAATTTATGGCCGAAGCTACATAAAATTTGTGCGATTCAGTCTTTAAAGCGTCGATGTCATATTTCCATAGATAAAACAAAATCAAGTTAAACACTACTCCTACACATCCCACTACTACACATACAAACTTCCATATGGTCCGATTAGTATTCATTATTATGTGAGTATTTTTCAGCACTTCTGTTTTGAATGTCGGCGATCGATTTCGCGCATGTAAAGTTTTCAAATTTCACGCTTTCGATAGAATAAAAAAAAAAGTTTTTTTACACGTTTATTCCTCGTTATCGCTCGAGTTCTTTGCAACGATTTTACATGGTATTAAATACTTGATTTTCCAGCTTAAATTTTCTAGTGATTATTTTCGGTTTGATGAAAGAACTTAAGGCAAACATTTTTTTAGCACATTTTTAATATCAAAACTCATCAAGACACACAATCCAAAAGCTGCTTTTCAGTTCACAGCCAATGCGATACTGTGCGCACACTTACCTTAAACGCCAATCTACACCTCGATTAAAAAATACTGATGTAGCAAAATAAACATTATATTACGCACACATAAACGAGATAATAAAATTATACTCTCGATTTGGATTCCCATTGTGATTCGGTTTGAACAACATGTATTAAGTTTCTCATTTGCAAAGTGCCGTCTTCCATTTCTGGCCAAACATTTTTGAATATTTTTGTGGCGCGGAAGAAAAAATCTCAAAAATTTACAGTGAACATATTTAAAAGAACGAATTTATTCGCTTTACTATGATACGCCGACTAATCCGGTGGTCATAATTTGAAGCAGGTAAACTTTCGATTGAAAATAAAACAATAACCCGTACATAGAATACAAACAGTAGTATAAACCGGCTGTGTTAGAAACGTCTGTTTTGTATTAGATTCACACACATTTGACGATAAGAAAACAAAGAAGAGAGAATAAGACCGGCATATGGGTGGATTTCTACAATGTAATATCCAAATAATATTTAAAAAAATAAGATTCTCAATTTTTCTAATTATTATTTTAAGTCCCATCATAAATATATCCAAAATTTATTCTAGAGAATTGTCACATTGTTGCCCATAATAAGCTATAACTACATTCAAACGGTCATTTCGTTCATATATCAAATTCAGACAATATATTAAGCTGTCGTCATCTGGAAATTACAGCTCATCTGGATATCGTCAGCAGATGATACGAAGTGAAAACAATAGAAGTGATTGTTATAGGTATATAAGCTTGTTATATACTGGTATTACTATAACAATCACTTCTATTGTTTTCACTTCGCATCATCTGCTGACGACATCCAGATGAGCTGAAATATCCAGATGACGGCAGCTGAATATATTGTTTGATCAAACCCGGTAATATGATGACTATTGTACGTTCCTAAATCTACGACAACGCCATCTCTTGTTCCCCATCTGTTGCGAGTTTTTTAACCAACCAATATTGATTGGTTCAAATTAAATAGTTTAATATACATTCAAAAAGAGTTCAAGTCTAATCCCGACTATTTGAAAAATCCTCAGGTAAAATATTAAAACAAAACTTGAACAATTTTTTTGAATTCATTTTTTTAATTGTCGTCGATTTCATGGAGTAGAACATATAGAAACAATATATACAGACAAACATCACACTTTATAACAGAGGAACGAAACATTCTGTGTATGAAAATACTAATACATGTGCGCATACTCAGCTTCGTTTCTGTGATGACCACTTTAAGCGTATATGTGATGCTTGTGTATGTATTGTTTCTTTAATATCTACAGTGTACTGTCAATTTCGCTCCTTCAAATCGATGGCAATAAATAGTTAAAAAAATGAATTTTGTTTCAACAAATGATTTTAAATATGATTTCAATAATTTAAATTAGGATTTTTTAAAAAAATGTGGGATTAAACTTAAATTCTTTTATTTTATTTTAAATTAAAGTGAAAATTTTGTCACAGAAATAGCTACTGATGTGCAACCAAAGATGGCGTTTTCGGTTTAGATGCCACTGACGTTTACATATAATTATGTCAACGATATCCCCGGTTGGTCTGATCAAATTTCAAGTAAAAAAACCTAAATTATTTACAAATTACAATTATTTTTGAGATTAAACTTTATCACAATTTTGATCATCAAGCAAATTAATATATTTTTTCACTTTGATCCTCGGACGTGGTTGAGGGGTGATTACATTCCATCTTGGGAGTATAGGTAGTTTCGGAATGGGTGGTATGTGGATTTCTTCTCGAATTTTCTTGAAACTTATCACAGCAAATGCAAAATAGATGAGCATAAACACTGAAAAATGTAAAAAGAACAAATTTTAATTAAAATTCAATTATTTTTTCTTCAATGAACTGCAGCGAAACCCTTTTTATTTAATCGGTATTTATGCCAGTCTAAACGACCGGGTTTTACCGCATAATTCAAGGCTGCAATGTCAATCGTATTTACTGTGTAATCGTTATTTACCTATTGCACCGTAGGCGTTCAAGACTTTTACAGAGCTAGAAAGAGATTCTTTCGGTTTCATTAGATGATCCGTTGTCAATATTATCCACGTAAATATAAATATCATTTGGATGAACCAAGAAACGAGCGATATTGACATGTAGATTATTTTGCTCTGTTGAATGAAATTTGAAGAAAAACTTGAAATTACTATTAAGATGAATTTTTTTTTGCGATTCGGTTTTTTTTACCTTTGCAATACCATACATCCAAAGCCCGCACAAAATCAAATTCAAAGCTGCAAAGTAGAAATATAAGCATCATGAATTGTGAATTATTTCGGGATTTCCCATATAAACAATTCAAAGAAATGGATCGCAGGTAGTAGAACAGAACTACACACATTGATAGCCGAATTTCGTCGAATTGTTTACGCTTGCGTTAACAACAACGAATGATGTCATACGGAATTATTTGAATGTGATACATGAATAAAACAAAAAAACTTACTGGCAATACCAAATTCAATTGGATCGAATATATTATCAAAAAAAAATATAGATTGAATGGTGATATCAAATAGACATAATGGAATTAACAAACATCCCAATCCTTTTCCAATCGTCTTCCACGTAAACATATGACTTTCTGTGAAATAACTATTCATTTTGAATAAAATTGGTAAAAACTCGCTAAAATCACAGATGCTGAACTGTTAACTAGAATCACTTGTATACGAATCGGTTTGGATGAATGTCACTTTAAAACTAAATTGGTCGCTTCAAACGCACTGCGAACTTACTGTCAAAAAGTGTTGAAAGTCATCAGAGACTTAATGAATGCGACTCTGTAAAGAACCCGTCTTGTATTGCAGTCCGTTCAGAAGCATTCTTTGTAATTTTACACTGTGTATTCAAATTTTGTATTTTATTTGTGATTTCATGTTAAAACTGACGTTCTTAGAGCCATATTTCGACACGAAAAAAATCCCGAATTTCGTAATGTCATCAAATGTGAGTTTTTTTTCTAAATAAACGATCGTGTATTGATCAAAATGTTCTTCTTTCACACACAGTCACTGCGATACTGCATGCTCCGCATGGCACTGACGATGTTGGAAAACACGATTATTTTGAGTAACGAGTTGATAAGGTTTTGTAAGGCAAGGTTTGAACGTTAGCAGACGCGGCATGATGCGCACACATGCTGGTAGCGTAGCCGTGCGGATGTATTGATTTTGTTTTTAATACTGAAAATAACCCGCACATATGTATAGCATCACATTATCGGTTGTAGCTTGTGGCTATGTGATATCAACCACATATATGATGATGATGAAAAAAAGAAATGACAAACAACTTGCTAAACGTTTTGAAATTACTTATTTTATTTACTGTTTCTCAATCAAAAATTCAAGTCACATCGTTTGAATTTGCAGTTAATTCACGCTAAGTTGATTTTGCAATTTGCATTGTATGGTTAATGTCGTAAATGTTCATTTATTGTACTTTTTTTTAGAATTTCAACCAACACATTTCGCGATTAATTTGAATTTTTCGACCATTTCACCGAAATCCATAATTTTTAAATAAATAATTTCTTTGGAACATTATTTTTATTTGAAAATTTCGGCAAAATGTTCATTATAACCTAAATATTACTTAAAAATTTAACAGAATTTTCTTCTATGGAACAGAACTCTCAACATTATCGATGGATTTCTTAGAATTCGTTCCAAGCTTTTGGTTCTTACGGTGGTTTATTGTGTAAAACTAGAAATATTTTGTAAAAGGAATTGGGAAAAAATCAATTGTCAATGAGTTTTGAGACTAACAACAAGTTATAGACTGGCCAAAATTAAATTTAGAGTTTCCAAAAAATCCAAAATAATACAAAGTCTTAAATTAAACCTCGAAGACTAGCTTTGAACGTTTTTCATTCTTTGTTCATTGATCGAGGAATTGTTCCATGCTGAAAATCAAAAGAATAACATGAACCAAGCTCAAAAACTCCAATCTAATTTCGGCGATAAGAAAAGTAATTTTCCGCATTACCTTTGAATTTGAAATAAATTCGCGATACCCTTTGAATCCGAGCCCATTTTAAGCGAGATATAATTGACTGTTGCGAGGACCTCTATGTATTTTGAAAGGGACACCTGCAGAACTTAGCCATTACAAGCTCCTAAAAAAATTCCCGTCAACACCTATGATCGTCAGACTTTTAATCAACTGTTTTTACCACGAGAACTTGATAACTTTTTTTCAACTGGATGGTGACACGGCTCACCAATTGAACAGATCACCAATTCTGAAAACAAAAATAAAACTTGTTTACCTCATCCAATCAGAAGAAACACCGTGAACATTGATTAGGTTCAATTTTATTAAAACATTTCTTTGAATAATTGAAGAACGAAGTAAAAACAAATGTTTTATTTGTGTCAGTAACACAATAAGTGTTTTTAGTCTGCAAGAACATAGCAGGCGTCGAGCTCATGTCCTCCTCGGATTGTTAATAAAGCAATGATAGTTACAAACTTCATATCCATTCACATCCGAAAATATGCCGAGAAATTTCCTATCTTTTGTGATAACCATACCTCCAGAAGGTGGTCGCCTTGCGCTGTCTGCAATCTTCAATAAAGTGCAACTTTTTCGCCCCTCCTCCAAATTATTTAATTTCTGATACTTGTCTGAATTTTCAGTTGTTACATCAAAATA